TACAAACAACACAAATCCACAATTCCATATCCAGAGTTTCTTCTCAGGGAAAATTATACAAAGGAGGGAATGGCTAGTTTGGGAGAAAACAACGCATCACATGACCGAAAGACCCCGCGACACATGACCCAATAAACGCACATGACAATCTAAATATGCCAGAAGCACGTGGTGATCTATTTATTTTTGGGTTGACACCATTTTGACAACGGCGGGTAAATACAGGAACATTTTCACAACGGCGATGTTAAATTTGACAACGGCAGCGCGCCACTGTGCCTCTTATGTATAAGAAACCCTGCATATCGGTTAATTTCATCTACACATAAAATTTTTCATTTATTCACAAAATATCTGTACCTCTTTTCTCTGTTTTGTGTCTCTTTTCCAATATAAGGCATCTTCAATTCGTAAAATAACAATGAAAATACAATTCAGGCAGCAGCATTACATATAAAAGACAAGCAAGCAAGATAAGCTTAGCATAAATACACAGAAGATAAAAAGCAAAACTTGTTTTCCTAAAAAATGAAAAAAACGATCTCGACGAAAACCCCTCGCAAAAACCAAACCAGTCTCTCTTCATAAACCGACACGCAGCTCTCGCATGCTCCAGTCCACCATTAGTACAAAATCTCGCCCGCCGCCGCCGCAGACGCTCGGAGGAGCACGCCGTTGCCACGGTTACCTGGTGATTGACGGGAACACCTCGCCGAGGCCCTTTGCTCGGACTTGCGAGATATCGAGGCAGTGAATGACGATGTCAACAACTTCGATGAGAAGGTCGATCACGTCCATCTGCAGCTTGTCGATCAAAAGCTCTGCACGCACAAAACAAGAGAGCAGCATATGAGAGCAGAAACAAGAGAGCAGCTGTGTATGACGATTTCGACAAACCTCAATGAGAAGGTCGATCACGTCCATCTGCTGCTTGTCAATCAACAGCTCTGCGCGCACAAAACAAGCGAGCATCAGATGCAGACGCTCGAACGGCGTCGAGAGGAAGGGGGGTGGGGGTGCGGAGGACGATGAGGTGCGCTGTGCACGTGTGATGTACGTGCAAGCTTACCATGAACGCTTGTGCTGCGTAAAACTATATATTCCTCCCATATGTTATTGTTAAGACTGACAACTGGAGACTGACAACAAACCCCCGTGCTACACACAACCGCAAACACTCGTAAAATACCAAAGATCTCACACACACGTATACACCCACTCTGTCACTCTCAGACAGTATGCACACGTATACACGGTACAAGGCCTAAGATAAAATATTGCTTGTTTCCCCTTTACCGACCGACTCGCCAAAACGCCGCTACTCGACACATTTTATTGACCGATTAAAACAAAACAAAATTTATTTCGTTTTGCCTAAAACAGAATATACAATATACATACACACATCTTGTCAAAACAAAATAAAAAATATTTTTCACCTACCTACCTACTCTGCACCCTGAGAGGTGAGTAGGTAAAGGGGAAACAAACAATTTTTTAAGGGTGGCCGCCCAACCCACACTCTCGCGCTACACACAACCTGCGCGTATGCGACATCCTACGACCTTGAACGCTTGTACTCGCCTACGACGCGCAGAATCTCCGGCTTCGACTTGACGAGCACGTGCGAGCCGAGGTTGGCGTTCTGCGCGGGCGCGCTCGCCGCCATGGCGACGTAACGAGCGACCTCCTTCGCCATCGTCGTGATGAACGCCGCGGGTCGTGCGGTCGCGATCAGCGAGAGAGAGTGACGCGCCGTGCGGCAGGAGTCGGCAGCCGGCGACAGCGGCAGTCCCAGCGAGATGCTGTAACGACGATGCAGACGATGATGATGATGATGATGATGGAGATGATGATGATGATGGAGATGATGACAGAGATGATGATGATGATGATGATGGAGATGATGATGATGATGGAGATGATGACAGAGACAATGATGATGATGATGATGATGATGATGGAGATGATAATAATGACGAAGACAATGATGGTGATGATGATGATGATGATGATGATGATAGAGACAATGACAGAGACGATGATGATGATGGAGATGATAGAGACGATGACAGAGACGATGATGATGATGATGGTGATAGAGACAATGACAGAGACGATGATGATGATGGAGATGATAGAGACGATGACAGAGACGATGATGATGATGATCATAAAGACAATGACAGAGACGATGATGATGATGGAGATGATAGAGACGATGACAGAGACGATGATGATGATGATCATAAAGACAATGATGGAACGATGATGATGATTATGACGACGGAAACGAAGATGGTGATATGTGGGGGTAACTGCCCGGTCTAAAGCCTACCCTTAACCTGACCTTACCGCTAACCTTTGGCGAATTAAATTGGAGAAATAAATTGAATAAATGACATGATTAAATTGGAACAGAAGTAGAAATGAACCCTAGAGCCTCAGGCCAGCACTGCCAGGACTGCAGGGCTCATTCCACTCGGTCAGCTTTCGAAAGCCCACTTTAGAACTCACGACCCACAGCAGACAAGCAGCTTCACCCGCCCCACAGCCTCACCCACCCCGCAACCTCACCCGCCCCACAGCCTCCTTACCCGCGCAGTAGTTTGTCAGCGTCGCAGCACAGCTCCAGCAGGCCCAGCAGCACGGCCGACTCGTCTAGGTGCGGCTCCCACACGGTGAACCCGCGGCCGATCAGGTCGATGGCGCCGCGTCGGATCGGCGTGTGAGCGGGCAGACGGTTGATCGGTGGACTCAGCAGCAGGAACGTCAACGCTTTGCCTGCGCAAATTAGGAAACATTAAGAAATAACAACCGCAGAAGTCTTAACTACAATGTCGAGTTTGCGATCGGAGACGGTCGACCGAAACGTGGTCAAGTTCCGGGTCCCGCTGTCCGAAACAAAATTAGTCCTAACATTAACTTTTTGCTCAGAGACCGTCAAGAGAAACATGTTAGAGGGTAGAGTTACGAGTTTCCCACACGCAGTCCGGCACACGTCGTCAACCACAAAATTAGCCTTAAATTGACTACGTCACGAATTTTCTATGGTAAAATTTGTAAAAATTTTGTTGCATTTTTTTACATTAAAAGTAAGAACTAACGGGACTAAACGTATCGTCTTACCTGATAAGTTAAAAACTGACTAGTTAAAAATCCAAAAAACCTGGACGATTTGATATTAGTGTTCCTGACAGCCTGACATTAATTGCTTGCTATGGGCTATGTATGAGTCACGAGTGTATGTTCACATCGAACAATATAGTAAAATAAGAAGTATAATGCAGCAATTTAACCATAAAAAGTGGACAGAATTACTTACGGTAATTTTTACTATTTACGGTGACGTAATCACTTTAACGTTAGTCTTAACGTCTATTTTTGTCTCGTAGACTGAGGGTTGTGGCAGCATACTTGTGTGTCTCGCAAGACTGTAGTTGGCCCGACTGAACATGGTAGAGTTATGAGTTTCATACTTAGACATACGCAGTGTATAGGAGGTGCGGCGCACATTGTCAGAAAGCGAAATTAGCCTTAGCGTTCGTCTTAACGTGAATTTTTCTCTCGTAGACTTAGAGTCGCTACATACTTGTGTGTCTTGCGAGACTGTAGTTGCCCTGACTGAAGCCTTCGACAGCTTTCCGCCTCATCTGATGCTCCAACGGCTTGTTCTTGTTTGCCTCTATCTCCTGTCCAAACTCAGCCCCTGCGCAGTACGAACACACGCGTATATAACATGAATATATACTATACATATATTATACATACATTGATTATATATACGATGTGTCGTGTATAGCTAATAAATGTGCTGGATCATTGGTGGGTGTTTGAGACTGTATGGATAGGATGTTGTCCAAACTCAGCCCCTGCACAGCATGAACACACACATATGAGGCCCAAAAAAATTACTTGGTCGATTCTCAGGCCAATTTTTTCAAAAAGTGATGAGGCAGGCAAGTGTCTTTTTTAAATATTTTATCTCCACACAAAAATATGAAGCAGGTATGTTTTTTTTAATTGGTGGTGCGGCAGGGTCCGAGAAATGAACAATTAATTTGTTTGGCCTAATATGCATATATACTAAATATATTCTACATATATTATTACACGATACGTGTACGTGTGTATTTAATAAATGCGCTGGATCGTTGGTGGTTGTTCGAGACAGTATGGATTGGATATCTTAGAACATGCAAATCTGTCTTTCTCACTATATATACGACGATATGCAACTCTGTATCTGTCACTATGTGACAACATGCAACTTTATATCTATCACAACGTGACGACATGCAATTCTGTATCTATCACTACAACATGCAACTCTTTGAGCAACATATTTAACGACATTAGTTATACTACGTAGCGTACGTCAGCTAACTACGTAGCTAACTACGTCGTACGTTAGTTCTACGCATGTCACTGCGTAAGTACGAGGCGCAGGCCACCTCTCTCTCTCTACGCTCGTTACCTATTCTTCTATAGCCTCTCTCTCTCTCTACGTTCGTTACCGATTCTTCTATAGCCTCTCTCTCTCTACGTTCGTTACCTATCACGCCCAGCATGACGATCGCCGTTGCCTGCTTCTGGCGTGAGTTAAACTTGGGTGACACGCCTCCGAGGTTATTCTGATCCTGTGAATCGTACGAGTCATCGTCCGTCGCCGCCTGGCCGCCTAGCGAGAGAGGGAGAGAGAGTGTGAGAGTGTGTGAGAGAGAGACAGAGAGAGAGAAGGAGAAAGAGAGAGAGTGAGAGAGAGAGTAGAGGGAGAAAGTAGAAAGAGAGAAAGTGTGAGAGTGTGTGAGAGAGAGACAGAGAGAGAGAGGAGAG